TCGAGAGCACGAATCCAAATTTGTGTGAAAAGTTCTCCAATCTTATGAAGGGTAAATTTGAGATGAGTATGATGGGAGAACTAAACTATTTTCTGGGATTGCAAGTCAAACAATGCCCAGATGGAATATTCATTAATCAAGCCAAATATACCAAGGATCTAATCCGGAAATTTGGCATTGATGGAAAAAGTTCGGTCAAAATTCCTATGAGCACATCCCTTAGAATGGATGTTGATAATGAAGGAAAAGATGTTGATCAGAAAAACTTTCGAGGCATTATTGGTTTTCTTTTATACCTAACAGCAAGCAGACCTGACATTTCGTTTGCTGTTGGTGTATGTGCTCGATTTCAAGCCAAGTCGAAAGAAAGTCACCTAAGTGCAACTAAGAAGATATTAAGATATCTTAAGGGAACACAAAGTGTTGGTCTCTGGTATCCGAAAGAAGGATCATTTGATCTTATTGGATACTCAGATGCAGACTTCGCAGGATGTCGTATTGATCGAAAGAGTACCTCAGGAACCTGCCAGTTCCTAGGAGGAAGAATTATGTCTTGGTTTGGCAAGAAGCAACACTCTATTGCTACAAGTACGGCTGAAGCCGAATACATAGCAGCCGGAAGCTGTTGTGCTCAAATCCTATGGATGAGACATCAATTGAGGGATTATGGCATAAATGCACGAGAAGTGAGCATTAAATGTGACAACACGAGTGCAATTGCCATTACACATAATCCTGTCTTACATTCTCGGACTAAGCACATTGACATCAAATATCACTTCATTCGTGATCATGTCGAGAAGAAAGACATATCTCTTGAATATGTTAATACTGATGATCAATTTGCGGATATACTCACAAAACCCTTGAGTGAAGCAAGATTATCCTCTCTAAGGCATGAACTCGGAATGATTGAAATGACATAAAGCCAAGAGAATCAAATCTGCAAAGATTCTTGCTCTCGATATTCAAAAAGATTTGATCCATCTTCACACGCAAGGATTTTTATAAATGAGGTACACGACATGCTTAAAATTTCATATCTAACAAAATTTCTAGTGTTTGTCTTTTCTTGTGCAGATATGAGTACAGGAAGCGAAAGAACAATCACTGAGGCACAAGGAGGGAAAAGCGAAATTCTCAATAAACCACTTGTAACCAAGCAAGAGATTAATCAATTTCTTGAACATTCTCAACACATACAAAGTCTTCTCCGCGACACAACCGAAAATGAGTCAAGAGAATCATTCGACTCTGTTGGCAACCCTATAGGGTATGTCAAGGAAGACAGTGTGTTGGAACAAAGTGGAAGTTTTAACTCCTCACTCTCAAGCACTCCAACTAAGATGGAATCTCCTCTCAAGTCCACCGCAAGCAGCAAGAAAAAGAAGGCCTAAATAACCTTGTTAGGCCACGGTGATAAGTTGTGATGTTATCATGATTGTGATCTTTTAATATATGACTCTATCTTTCGTTATCTTTTTAATATGGTGTCAGTATCTAAAAGATTTTATTAAGATTCTCACGACAACTTTTTGCCTATAAATTGTTTTCCTATTTCATGAAGCTTTACTCATTCTCAAACCCTTAGAAAAGGAAAGAGATTGCAGGAATGGACAAAGGGAAAGGAAAGATCGATGAAGCTGAGAAAAGAGCTAATCGTCTAAAACATCATCTGCGAGAAGCCAGCAAGCTACCAAATGCCACCATCATTAGGCTGGAAGAAGATGGGGAAAGGGTCATCGTGACTTACTCCATGACTAACACAGCAACACGAAAGGATAAGGAAACTCTTGACAATTTGGTCAATGAGTCCAGGGCTAAGAAAGCATACTGCATGGAACAAGCCACACGGCTTGCTAAAGAGAGAATTATGATGATGAAAAGCTCTAACAAGCACCCACCATCTTTTCCTACTTCTCACTGGCATCCTTTTCCTGAAGTTCCCCAACCTAGTGATCACTCTTATGAAGATTTCACTATGGTTCACTCTCGGTCTTCCACTCTTTCACCCGAACCCACTCTCTCACTTGAGGAGCTGGATGAATATGCAAAGAAGACAAATCTGTCTGATGTGACCGAAGAGATGACTCGTCTGGAACTTCACGTGCCTTATCGCTTTCTCTAATTTGTTGTGTGTTGTATTCTCGTGTCTTGGAACTTTCTTTCTCTCTGCCTTATGATCTAATAAAAATGTTATCCTTTCGTACTAAGAATGAATGCAATTCATGACTATGTTTAACTTTGTCTGTTTCTTGTCTAAGGTCACAGGAAAACTCATCACTCAAACTTAATCTGGTCAAAAGGGGCCATAAGTTATTATGAGTTATCTGACTATTAAGTTCATTGAAGTTGGAACAATGCTTAATAAAGAATCGCTTTAAATAGTCAAAGTCTTGCCTGGAATTGATAACTCCTTGAATATATTTATGAGCATTAATTACTACGTTGAAAAATATGTGTAACAGACACATGAACTTTATGGATCTCTTGCTATAAAAGGAGGTGAATTCTTCACATCATCTCCATCTCTTTTCCTCACCATGGCTCCAAAGAAACCTTTCACTAGAGGTGACTCTCACAAACTAAGAGAGGGTGCTAGACGTCTCTGGGAGGAACAGGGTGACCTTTATCCTGGTAACAGTCCACAAGCACCAGTGGAAATTCTCTCTGATTCCGACTCATCTCTTCAATATGATGAGATGGCTGGTTTTATTGTTGAAAGTGAAGAAAGGATTTCAAAAGATCCTACTCAAGTCATCCATGAGGATCCTAGCAAGTTCCGTGATCGAGACTATATGGAGTTTCTGAAACAAGAGCGTGAGAAAGAGGCATATGACAAGGAGGAAGAACTTGAGTCCTCATCTAGATCCAACAACCCACGTACCGAAAAATGGTACAAGCAGATGTGGGGAAATCTGAAAAAGGCGAAAGATGAGTCGTCTGGGGTCAAGAAGAATGAGAGAAAGAAGAATTGATCCCTTGGACTCTGTATCTTATCTTATGTATCATCTTCTCTCGGCTTTATGAATAATAAAACTTTGTTGGCTCTGTTTTTCGTTAAAGTTATTAAACGAGACTTTACTTGTCTCAGTTGTCCTATGCTTAAAATCTCGAATCAAGGACAGCCTTCTTGGAAATGAATATATTCCTAAGGCGTGCCTTGGTCAAGTCATTCGGACACATCTTTTGAGAGATCCAAATCTCTATTTAATGGACCTTCTCACGTAACAATGAAATCACTCTACACATTCTTCAAGCTCAAGGAAAAAGGGAAGGAAATAGCCCTCACATCCGAGAGCTTATCTGTGCCTGAAAAAATGTCTCACCCTGATCTCGGACACTTAGTTGAGAAAGGTTCAGCCTCTGGGAAGGAACCAGACATCTCAGAGTTCTACTCTCTTGTTCAACTCACACCACTTCTGAAGCACGAAGAAAGGTATCGTGCATTGTATGCTTTTGCTAAAGCCAAAGTCTTGGCTGAACTGGATGACATGGAGAGACGAGGTCTCTCTAGAGAAACATTGGGAGCAGATCACGAGACACTCATCGCTGAAGTGTTTGCTCATGAGATCCGAAAGAAGGAGTACTTTGAGTATGCACGAAAGAAGAAGGGTAACAATGAGTAAAAGGCAATCTTGCCTTCTAATGCACGAGAGATCGTAATCGTTTATGTCACGTTTTGTTCTGTGTAATAATTCTCTCGGGAAGAGCATCTTTGTGATTGTAAAAAGGATTTGTTTGACTTTATTTGTCTCACAAATCTTATGTTATGAAAATCTTATCTATCTTCGGGTTTGGAATCGTGCCTAAAATGATTCATTTTTCAGCTTTTAATCCCAACCGCTTAGATGGATCTTAATGGGATCATGTGGCCGAGAAAAATGGTCCACTATCCCACTCTGTCTGACACAGGATGTGACGTGCATTTAATGCACCCATAAGCACTCAAGTGTTTTTCTCTCTCCTCATTAAATGGTGGAATGATCGTTTTTGATCTGCACACGATCTTATCACTCCCCCACGATGATCAGTTACCTTATTGGAGAAGAGGAACCGGTAGTACTTTTGAAATTCAAATAATCCATCTCTAAATGGGTTACCCATAACCGGTTACCCGGAGTCCTATAAAACCCTACTTAAACCTTTCTCTCATTTTACCTTACCCTTTTCACACAGTCTCTACCCTCATCCTCCATACTTCTCTATCTCTCAAATCCTTAACAATGGCGGAACATTCGCAAGCTTCACCCACTGATAAAGAACCAGAAACACCATCCATCTTGGAGATCCCAAGCTTTCCAACTGAAAACTTGAGGTTCATCGAATCCAGAGTACCGTTTATCGTAGGAGGTAGCATGTGGGATGCGCATGGCTTTCTTGAATACATATTGGACAGAAGATTTGGCGAAAACATCATTCGACTCCTCACAGAAACAGGGTTGTATAATTTCATCACACATCTTTACACTATTTGGCACCCTATTGACGTAACTCAGTTCTATATGAATGCTTCCATATCTTCTGATTATCTGACCAGTACTTCCAGAGTCAATAATCATCACGTGGTCCTTACCTCGAAAGACATTCGATCTACATACGGGTTTCCACAGAGAGATGAAACCTACAAGTTTGATATTATCTATTATCATATCGATCCAGAGGAGTTCTATGATTCTATCAAGAACAATCAAGCCCCCTCCAAGGCAGAAATCACATGGCCATTAAAGAAGAAGTGGTTCCGGCTAGATTATGAGTTCACTATTGACATTTTCAACAAAATTGTTGATCACAAGACCTCGGGCACTGATGACGTGACGAAGGAGAAATTAAAAATGCTGCATGCATTTCTGAATGAACTCAAGGTTGACTGGTCCAAGATCATCTTCAATAATCTCGTCCACACCATCACCTATCACAGGAAGAGTCCAGGAGATATTGCAAAGAAGTTAGGGTATGGTTTTGTAATAAGTCATCTTCTTGTCACCAAATGAGTCTTAATGTGCCCAGGAATCCAGCCAGGACCGAAAGCGTGCCATATGAAGCAGAAACCATTAGGGTATGACAAGCATAAGGCATTGGAGTTAGGGATTCCTATTGAGCAGGTTAAAACCAAAAGGAAGTCGAGAACTCCTAGGGTTTCAGAGGATGATCAACCCAAGTCGAAAAGACAAAAGCGAGAAAAACACTCCTCTCGGAGTAAGGCAAAGAAGGAAGAAGCCACTCCACCTGTTCCAATTCCTCCTAAATCTCCTCAAGAGAAGAAAGATCCTACTCCACCGCCAGAAACAATCGTTGTAAAGAATTCATTCGAAGAAGACAATCTGGTTCTCTCTAGAATCATCAAAAAGGGTCACTTTCGGTCTCCTGTCAAGCCTAAACCTTCCCCGAAGGAACTCTCTACACCGAAAGTAGCAGACACGAGAGAAGCACCTCCACAGGGGGAAGAAGTTCTAAACGAAGCTCTTTCTGAGGGGGAAGCTCAACCGAAAGCTGTTCTTTCTGAAACTCTCTATGCTGATCAAGATCCAAAAACATATCTCGCTTCGTCTCAAGTCCTACATCCACAAGAACCTACTTTGGCAGAGCAACTTCTTCGTGAGTTGACACAAGAACCTGCTGATGTAGAAATGGAGGCCAGTCGCTTAAGTCTTCCACAAGAACCTGGTTCGCCAGAAAAGACGAGAGGAGCAACTGCTGAATTGGTTGATGAGATATCTCTGCCACAAGAACCTACCAATGCAGAGCAGGTTAATCTGACACAAGAACCTGCGTTGGTAGAAGAGACAGCTGTTGTACCGGTCGTAACTCCCGTTATCCCGAATCTCTCTGTTCCAGCTACCAAAGCACCAACACCAGATCAGATTCTCCGAGCATCCATTGAAAGCGATTATCAACGAGTTCTGCAGTGGCAAAAGTGGCGCACTGCTCCTCTAAGAACTTTTCTTGAAACCTTTGAAGCTATGCAAGACGAGGAAGACTTTGCACTAAAATGGGTTGGCACGGAAGATGTTTACAAAGCTCTGCGTCTTGAAGAAATCAATCGAGTATTCTCCTACAAGATGACAAATCGCACTCTCGGGAGAGACAAAGCTCCAATCTGCATTGAACTTAACAAGCCACCATTGGATCCAACCGTGGAAGAAGAAATGAAGCAACTTCGAAAGAAGACGAAAGTGATGAGAATGAAGAAGAAGATGATGATGATGTTGACGATGCCGATGACGAGCATGATGACAACGATGATGATGATGATGACAATGATGATCAGCTGGGTAATGCAGATGTTCAGGAAGCCGATCCCGAAGACAGTGATCCAATTTTGATCGGTCCTGATTATGATACTTTTCCACAAAGATCTCCCTTAAGGAAACTACCTTCTGACAGTGATGACCCGAAAGAAGCTTCAAATGAACATCCCGAAGATTTGTCTCGTGCCATAGTTCCACATGTCCAACTCATGGACGAGACTTCGATCAACAAAAGAGAAAGAAATTGTGCGTGAGGGAAAACTGGAAGCCTCACCAATTCTTCTCAGCTCGGCAAGTGGTGGCAAAAGGGAAGCACCACATCAAGATGAACAAATGGACACAACACCAAAAAACGTTGAAGAAGAGTCTACTGCAGAGTCCCCACGGACTATCATGAACATCATGAGAGAAACTGTTCATTCAGCCGAAACCATTCATTTGCAATATCTTGCTTTACGGCAAAAAGACACGAAAGTTTTGGAGGATTTATGCAAAAAGGTAGATCTTTTGATGGCTGCCCAATCTCAACCTCAACCTCCACCTCAGGAACAACCTCAACCGTCTCAACAAGCTCAATCTGATCACAAATTTCTTGAGCGAATAGCTAAGCGACTTCATGAACTGGACACCACCATGAACAAAGTTGCATGGCAACAACACGAGCTCAAACACTCTCATTTTGGCCTTAAAGAGCGCGTCGACCTAGCATGTACCAAGATTGATACTTATCAAGACAATGCATACCAACTGGGAGAATATGCTCTTCAAATTCTCGGGTATGCCCAGGATATCTTGGTTGCAATCAATAAGGTTTCCTCTGTTCCTCCTACCACCTGTGCTGATGATGCCAAAAAGGGGGAAAAGAGAAATGACGACAAGGATAAGGATGATGATCATCCAAGAGATCCGAGAGATATCACGAAAGATCAGTCTCCACAAGCAAGACACTCGCCTTCTCGGACACCAAGAGACTCTGGCCGAAGGAACACAAATCCATCCCATCCTCCTTCAAGGTCTCGTGGTCACCATTCCTCGAAGCCAAGATACCATGGTCGATACCAATCCAAATCAATTAAGCCTCGCCAATCTTTTGGTTCTGAAGCCAAGTACATCTTCACGGGTTTGTCCACGAGAGAACAGACGAAACTAAGGCAGAAACTTATGAAGGACAACAAAGTAACTATGGATGGCATAGGAAACTTTGTGGACTTTGTTCCATACGAAGAAGGCAATGGTAAACGTTTTGAGGGTTGTAATGTTTCTACCTGGCTTAAAACAAGGGATAACCATACAAGGTAAGATCACATTAACACCCAAAACGAAAGGATCAAAAGAGAAAACAGAGAGCTGTGGAAGAAACATGATGAAGAAATTAAAAGAAGAGAGGATGAGGCAATGGAAAGAGAAAGGATCAGGAATCTCATTGAAGATCTTTCTAGTGTAACCAAAGACTCTCCACAGAATGTTATTCACAATGCAGCTTTCAAAGTGCACAAAGAGTCAGAAAAGAGCTATCAAGAAGGGATGAATTCGTTTGAGCTAATTTCATGGTGGAAGGCTGGAATAGTTGAAGGAAGAAACATTCGTGAAGCCTATAACAATTACACAAGCCTGAACATCAAAGGAGAACATGAAGAGCTTGTCAGGACAAATCCAATTAAGGTCTTCAGGAAAAAGATCAATGAGGGAATAGATCTTAAAAGGATGCTCAAGCAACAAAAAGAAAAGGACGACAAAGAACTCAAGGAAGCTGCTCAACAGAAGTCAAAGCTCTTAGAAATGTAAGATATCTTTTATTCTGTTGTTTTCATCATAAAATTTTTGTAATCTTCACTATCTTATATATGAAACTCTCATTGTTACACATCTCATGTCACTTGTCTGAGTCATTTGTCTTTGTCTTAATGGTTAAATGCTTTTACCCTAGAAAGGACTTGTACACTCTCAAGTAAGACTGCTTTTATAATAGAAAAATTCTTTATGGAATCTTTTTCAGTCTTACAAGAAGGGTATAGGTTTTGGCATCATCAAAAAGGGGGAAATTGTTAGGAACCTTGTATTAGGATTTTGATGATACCAATGTAACGTAGAAAAGTAGACCCCTAACTATTAGCTTTTTTATTCGCTGCTCTCATCCTAGACGAGAGTTGCCATAACTCCTTTGTAATTCGTGTTAAGCTAGACAAACACACGAAAATGAGTTATGATTAGTTGATAGGGTCTCCAAGACGGAAGAAGACACAAGGCATGATGAACAACAACGAAATATAAAGCAGGAGTTGTCAACTATCAAGAAATGACAGTTTTGTTAAAGACGAATCTTACCAAGCATTGCTTCTCTTCAACAACAAGAAGAATGTTCTACCTGTCTGATTTGACAACATCCTAGGACAATAAGGACCTCAACTTATGGGACACACTTACCAAGGAGCATTAAATAAAGATGTACCATCTCCTGGAGCTAAAGGACAAAACCCTAATGCTTTCCATACCTTCAACGGCTACATGGTACAACCTCATTAATGGAGCATTTAATGCATGAAGCTCCCCGGTCCTTGTCCACTGGTTAAAAGGTTCGAAAATTTCATCTCCCTCCAACGGATGAATTTTCATCACCTATATAAACCCACCTTCATCAACTAAGAAGGTGCTGGTTCATTCTCACTCGACTTATTTACTTGCAAAAGCTCTTGAACGCTCTTAAAATTTCAAAAAGCTTTTGTGAACCAGTATTGAGGTGTTAAGTTACTTGAAGAAGGTCTTTGATCATTTTCTTACACCTCAAAAGAAGTCTTGCAAGTTGTTTGAAGCAATCATCTCTCAGCCAAGACTTCATCGTTGGAGAAATCAAGAAATCATTTTCTACCAACCTCAACTCAGAAGAAGAAGTTGATAGAGGCGGAGTAAACTTGAGAAGTTGAAAAACCTACGAAGGCTGTCCGGCTTAGTGATCGAGGAAGTCTTTGTGTAATTGTACTAAGAAGTGATAGTGCAATCCTTCCATAAGTTGTTGAAGAAGAGTGGAGTACGAAACGTTGGCCAAACCACTATAAAATCTTGTGTCCCTTCTATCTCTTTACTTACGCTTTTTACTTCTGCATTCATATCATCCTGTATCACCCTTACCGAAAGCTTTCCTAATTTCACAAACTCGTGCAAAGTATTTAAAACGAATCTAACTTTTCCGCTGCGCCAAAACACCGAAAGGTGACGTTTAGGGCATTTCACGAAAAGAGTCTATTCACCCCTCCCCCCCCCCCCCCTCTAGACTCTCGTTACATTCTATCGGGACCAACAGTGGTTTTTCTCAATTTTGTCCTAAATGACTTTAGTGACCTAATATTGTCCCAGACTTTTGTGTTTCGCTCAATTTAGTCCTCCATTTGTTATTCCGTTAAATTGGTGTTAAATAAAGGGACAATTTAGTAATGTCAATATTGATCTCTCTTTACTTTCAACTTGTGAAGTGCGAAATTCCTCTTTCTTGTACGAATTACACCCAGAATTACTCCCGGACCTGCAAATCAAATTTTATATTTGCAATTTTAGGAGTAATTCTGGGAGTAATTCGTAAAAAAAAAAAGGGATTTCGCAGTTCACATGTCTATGAGTAAAGAGATGCCAATATTAAAATTACTGAATTGTCTATTTATTTAACACCAAATGGACAGAATAACAAATGAGGGACTAAATTGAGCAAAAATACAAAAGTCTGGGACTAAATTGAGCCAAACACAAAATTTTGGGACGATATTAGGTCACCAAAGTCGTTTGGGACGAAATTGAGAAAAACCACTATAGTCGAGGACGATTTTGAGTATTAACTCATAAATCAATACTAAAAATGTGTACAATTAGGCTCACATCAACTCCCCCACACTTAAGCCTTTGTTTGTTCTCGAGCAAAACCAAGGAATAAATCACAAATCAAAACATACAAATTACTCCTACTCTCTCTTGCACAACCTTTCAAACCACCAACCAACTCAGAGCAAAACAACAAGCTTCAAGAATCAAATTAGCTTGGCACATAAGACCCATTCTCAAGCCAATAACCAAGCACCAAGAATTTAAAGTACGTGAGGATCAAGTGTGCACAAGTACTCAGTTGAGATTATGCAAAACACGGCTCATGAATGAGATCGCATAGGCTTTCCCTTCATACTCCCCTAGATCAAATAGGACATTATTTAGCTTGTAATGGGGCTACGGGTGATGGCTAACAAAGAAGTGGTATGAAAAAATTAACAAAAAGAGAGAATGTCACAATTATCAATACTTTCAAAATTGGAAGAGATGAAATAAATCACAATTTCAATGAGCAAATTTCTTTTAAGAACTCAGCAACTCTTTGGAAAGTGGGGTCCAAACTCAAAAACTTTCAATCTTTCTTTCATTCTTTTCTTCTTTTTTTTTTTTCTTTCTTTTCTTTGATTCTTTTGTTTGGATCTCTTTTGAATACAACAAGACAATTTTAATCCAATCATTCATGACTCCCATACTTGAACATTTGTAATATCAGCTGATTTTTGGCACAACTCCATAAAACTCTTCTTACTGAAATAATAAAGATAAAAGTTTCATTCTCCCAAAGGGTGGAAGGGGAATATTTGGCCAAGGGCTAAGGGTTTAATAATAGGGGTAAATCAAAGAAAAAAAATCACGATGAGGGATAAGTGTAAGTATTTTCCCTAATATAATATATTATAATATATTGTATTATTGGGGGGTTGTGGTGCAAGTGGAAGATTAAGTCAGTTAGTGGCTTAATCTGTTAGGCAACTCGGGATATTCAGTTAAGCTTTAACTGAATATCTGCCTACGTTGATGGGATGTAGGCATCTAAGCAAAATAGTCCTCCCACAGCTCCCGTGTTCAGCATACACGCACCATCGAGTATTCGGGAGAGAAGTGGTAGACAAAACACTTTCTACAGTTTTACCATTCCAGAGGCAATTTCCACAACTATGGCTAGGGATGTTCAAAGGTCCTAAAGCTTCCACTGTAACGAGTCAGGTTACTCGTTTATTTCAGTTTATGTTAGCTTTATTATTATCTAACATTTGGTATCAAAGCCTTAATAATCCCTGTCTGGTTATTTGTACTGCTGAAAAATTATTAATTCTTCGTAGTATGCATTCTTGGTTTTTTGGCATTAAGCACAATTTAATTCTTTTTTTGGGAATTATTTGTTCTGTTTTGCTGAGTACGGGAAGTCAGAGACGGTGACTGCAACCAATAGGGCGACGACAAA